AAATATGTAATATACACACAGCAATCTAAATCAACACCGCTCCTCATCGAGAGATGTTTTAATCAAAATATAATATCATAATAAGTTAGAAGTAATATTGAATAAAATTTCTTAACTAATAAATTATTTTTAAACAACTACTCGTTGTCTTTTTAGTTCTAAGACAACAATTGATTATTTTCGAAAAAAAATACTATAAACATTTCGATGTATCAAGATGCAAAAGGAACGAAACCCAAAATAACAACACACAACTTAATAGTTAACACACTGATCAAATTAGCCACCTATAAATTACAAAATCATAATTCTAATCTTAAACTAAGTATAATAATGTACCAACTGACAACTTAGACACCTAACTAACAAACCTATATTATCGATGCTTTTTCTCTATAATAACAAATGATCTTTCTATACTTTTACAACAAAATATGGTATGGAATGTCATGGGTCAAGGCATAATTGTAATAATAGATCCTTTATTACGAAAACTACCTACAACTAAATCTCGTTCCACAAATGAATTTCATAAAATATATATATATAATACAAGCTCTAAACAAGGATAAAAACGTACCCAATGTACACAAACCATTTATTTAATAAAATGACGAATCATAAACACAAACTCGGCGTGGTAAACCACACATTCCAAAGTAATGCATTGGAAAAAAAACAGATTAAAAACAACAGCTAAAATTATACAATGGGCTTGAGCATATGCCTTAGAGATCTTATAACCTATTAAAACTGGTCACCACCACAAGATTCCAATAATAACAGTTCTATAAGAACCAAGTGATAACACATAATGAAAATGAGTAACTACAAACCACAAATCATGTAGGCTAATATCCAATCTTAAGCAGATAACACTATTCCAGTTATAACCCCAGTGTAAACAACACAATAAATAAAACAATTCATCAAACCACAGGATACCCTAAACCAACAGATCCTGTGGTTAGTATATAAATTCACGAAATTACCTTTACACCAGTTAATATACCAATTAAACAGTAACAACACTAAAAAACGATATTCTCTTTACATCCATACCAACCATAAACATGTTATGGACTCAAACAATAAACCTTAACACAACAATTAAAAACATCACTAATATTATACCTAGAGAACCTATTGGTGATTCCCGTATCCTTAATTCCGTACATATGCAACCAATCATTGAAAAACTAGGTAATATTAAAACATAAACTTCCGGATGTCAGAAAAAACCCAAACATGTGTTGAAACATTATGGAATCGCCGCCGCCTAGGGGATCAAAGCATGGCGTCCCAAATTTACGATCAAAGAGTAACATTGTTGTAGCTCTAGCAAAAACTGGAATAGATAAAAACAACAAAAAAAGATGTAAAATAATAACCCCACACAAATATTGGCGTACGAAGTACTCAATCTATATGCAACATATAATCTAAACCAGAACAACTACAAGTTATAATAAATTTCAATGCACCCAACATCCTAGACAAACTAGCCAAGTGTAATAAAATCAGCATATAATCAACACCTCTATCAGAAAAATACTTTCTAGATAGTGGTGGATAAAAAGTTCATCTTAGCCCCGAACCCAAATACATACTAATTAATAATCTTATCATTGATGGTATTAATATTCGAAGACTAAATGATTTTATTCGAGGAAGTTTCATATCACCCTGACGTGTTGATAAATGTATTACAGAACCCACAAATTAAAACAGGCATCAAGAAAAGAAAATCATTATTATGTCATGCCTAATTATCATAAATTTAACAAACTCCACCAAAATAACTTTATGATAAGGCCTCATTAATTTCAAACGAATTATCATACTTAACCTCAATCATATAAAACCAGATCATACAGCCAAAAATAAATAAACAATACCTATCTT